GCCTCGGGCGCGGGGCGCCACCCATGCTGGGCAGCTGGCGGCGGCTCCGCGTTTTGTCCTTTTGTATAAAGCGGTCTGACGCGGGAGGCGGGGAGGGGGCGTTCTCGGTCCTCCGCGGGGGCTGTGCAAGCTCCCTCTCCAGTCCCGCGAGCCCGGCACAGCCGGGATAGAGCCGCCGATGGAAACGCGCGGCGCGGAGGAGACGGGCGACCGGCTGCGGGGCGGGGGGCGCGGCCGCCGGGGTGTCCGCGGGACAAACGGCAGCGGGAGGGCTGGACAGGTGAAGAAAAACGTGGCCCGCCCGTCGCTGGGCGCCCGCCTTAGTGCCCGGAACCCCCCGCCTCCTGAGGCCGCAGTTGAGAGCCGCACCCTGGCCAGTGTGCGGGCCAGACCCTCAAAACACTGTACTGAGCGGGAGGCGACCAGCTCATGTTTCATCAGTGATTTTACGTCTTTTCTTCCTACTGACCTTGTCTGGATTGGCGGTGGGATTACTGTAGTTTAGCAAAATGAGTTGGAAGTGTTCGGTAAAACTCCGTGAAACCATCTGGACTTGGGCTGTTTTTCAGGGAGAGCGTCTTTATGACAGACAGGTAGGTAGGTGCACGGGTGTGTGTTCCTGAATTAATGTTGGTTATTTTTTTTCTCTAGAAACGTTTCTACTTTAGTTTTTTTTAACATTGTTTTTGGAATAAACTTGTTCATCTTGTTCTCTTAGGGTTTTTTAAAATCATGCTCTAGCTGTATTTAAGCCCCGTTTTTCTTTTTCCTTTCTTTTTATGTTTTTGTTGATTTCAGAGAGAGGAAGGGAGAGGGAGAAACATCAGTGATGAGAGTCATTGATCGGCCGCCTCCCGCACGCCCCCTGCTGGGGACCGAGCCCGCAACCCGGGCAGTGCCCTGACCCAGAATCCAACCGCGATCTCGATGCTCAACGGCTGAGCCAGTCGGCCGCTCGAGGCCCCATTTTCAGTCGTACTATTGTCCAATTTTATTCTTTTCTTCTTATCTTGCCAGAGGTATGTCTGCTTTATTATTTTTTTAAAGAACCAGTTTTTATTTTGTGATTTTTCTATATTTTTTTGTTTTCTAGTTTATGGATTCCATCAGTTCCTTTCTTTCTTTCCTTTTGTTACTCTGTAATTTTCTTTTTTTACTAGCCACATGACTTGACAATTTAGCTGACTTGCTTTCAATTTTCCTTTTTTAAGAGTGATTATACTTAAGGCTATATGCATTGCTCTCTGGGTACTACTTTGCTGTGTCCCACAGGTACTGTCATTGCCTTTAGTTTTTAGGTATTTTTATTTTACTTAATTTATTTTTTTAGAGAGAAAAAGGGAGGCGGAGAGAGAAAGAGAAACGTTGATCGGCTGCCTCCCTCACATGGATTGAACCCAAAACCTAGGTATGTGCCCTGACGGGGAATGGAACCCACAACCTTTTGGTGCCCAGAATGACACCACTTCAGCAAGCCACCCGGCTAGGGCATTACTCTTACATTTTCAACATCCGCATAACTATGCACTCTTCTACAACGTTTATAGTTATTTAACATATCTATTTTCTTTATAACCTACACAAGATTCCAGGACTGCTTTATCTGAGAAAACTGAGGAGACATAAAAATATTATGTTCTGGAGAACTTTGCTGCCCCTTTAAGATCCTGCCCCTCCCCCTGAGCCCACCCGGGCCCAGCCTGAGTCCCTCGCCCTCACTTAGGGGCATCCCCAGCATCCCAGCTTCTGAGCGTGGCTGGGGAACAGCCGGGCTGATGAAGCCCTCCTGAGGCTCGGGCGCTGTCGCAGGCTCTCCGCCAAGTTCCACTTCCAGGGCATCCTTCCCCCACCTAACCCTTCTTTTCTCACTTCTCTTTTTCTTAAGTCCTTTTTCACCATAATTTTATAGTACCTGTCTCTTTTATAACTTAGGAATAATGAACATCTGGGGTTTTTTAAATAGTAAAAAATTTAAATAATGCTTAGGATAGGGTATCTATCCCATACACGCGTTTTGGGCTATGAGGGGAGAAAGGTTAGCTTTATCTGGGGAGTTACATAAAGCTTTGAAGCTACACTCTTTAAAATGTTGTCATAAAACCTGCACGCCTAACCACTGTGTCATGTCTTTTGCTTCATAGGTCGTCTGGTGTCCCAGAAGTCTACTGACATTTGCTCTGTGGGATGGTAGGCTTCCTGTGTGTTAAGCACTGTAGCAAACCCTTGGATGTCAGTGTTGTATCCCAGCCTAAACGTACCCGGACTTACTGCCTTTGAAAAAAAATTTGAGCAATGTTCTTTCCTTCTGCATAAACCTTCATGCTGAGATGGCCCTTGATTGTCAGTATGTCACAGCAACATGTCTTGATAAGGTTGATATAAACCCAGCAAATATGAAGGGAATCACCAGGTCACAGGGAAACCAGGTTTTGTGGGCAGATGTCTGGGAGGAAGAAGTGAGAATACAAAGGAAGCAAAAAGGAAACGGAATCAGCGGTGAGATGGGCATGTCTCCATCATCTGGCCGCTCAACCAACACCCACCATTCAAAAACCATCCTTAAGTTGGCAAAGCACATATACTAAAATAGATCTAAGTTTAATGTGGATACATAGGCCATGTTTATGTCTCAAACCTTAATTCTAAAATTTCTTACATGGGAGAGAGAGACAACTACAAGATACAGACTGAAATGGTGAATTCAGTCTGTGTTGACTCAGAGGTCAATACATTAAGCTGTGACTCGGTAGGGTAGTGAAAATGTGCCCTACAGAAGGACAAATGCCTCAAAGCTCCCCAGGATTAAAATCTGGATTCTTCTGAAACTGCCTGAACCACTTTAGTTGGTTGAAAAGTGCACAAAGATGATGATAACCTGCATATCTTAGCCCCAACTGGGCTTTATAAATTAAAACCAACAATCTACATTGCTTTCAGGAAATAGGACACCAAAGTCAGTTTCAGAGAATCAAGTTTGATACACTTGACCTACTACTAGGTCTCAGAAAGAGAGGTCACCAATCCGAAACCATTCTGAAACTCCTAAGTATTAAAATTCATTCAACAAATGCTTGCTTTCTGAGCAACTAGCTATACCGGGCATTGTTCTAGGTGCGAGGAATACAGCTTTTAAACAGCAAGGCCTCTCCCTCTCCCTTGGGGTGCTTGCATTCCAGAGAAGACTTTCTTCTTGGTAGTGATACTGAGTGGGATGGGTGGGCGAGAGCCAGGGAGAGGAGAGGAATTGTTGACTATGGAAACTGCACACTTGCTGCTCTGTGACCTGATCATGAGCTCAGCCCCAAATCAAAACATAACAGCATGAACCAAGTAGATCAGACTATAAAGGAGCCTTTATAATCCATTAAGTTGTCTTCAGTCTAAGGGCTCTTGTCCCTGTGTTTATCAGCTATAAGAAAAAAGTAGCCAAGTCTTATCTCCCAATAGTGAAAGTCACTTAGTAGAAAGTTACATTAATGCACAAAATCACAAAGAGAATTTGCATGATTTTCAGAACCAAATTAATCCCTAATTTACTGGCATTCAGCTATTTGAGCCAAAAGATCACGTTGCATTTTAAACAATATAAACTCATCTACTTCCTCAGTCTTCATTTGCATGAGAAAAGTGAGTTATTCTCAGCCAAACAGAGCAAATCAAATCCTCCTGTCAATTTTCTGTTCCAGCACAAGATTGAGAATGTTCTCAGTTTCATTTTCCTCTCCCACCGGGGCTAAGATTCTTCCTTCAACCTTTTTTTAGTCACAGGACCTTTTGCAAATCGAATGAAAGCTAATGGTTCATCTCTGGAGAGGGTGCTCTGGTACCGACACACATTTTGAATACCATTTTTAAAAAATCGCTGAGTCTGACCTGCACATTATAAAAAAAAAAAAAATTATAGATTAGGGCTACGGGAGGTTAGATAATAGATTTACTGAAAGTCACACAGTTGGCAGAGCAGCACACAAAACCAAGTTCTCAAAAGTGTGTGGGTTTTTTGTTTAATTGGTTGGTTGGCTGGTTTTGTAATCTGAGACCACTCTTAGGTATAGGCCCTGTCTCTGAACCATTTTTCTCATCTGGAAATACTAACATAAAACATTATCTCTGTAACACATTTGTGCTCTCACTCCTTACAAACAGAGTAAATAGGTCCCCAGATGTACAGTTTTAAGGTTGGGGCTCTAGCTGAATAGGGTCTCTCCTCCCTGTCTCGCAAGCCAGGAACTCTAGTCGGGACGTATAATAAACCACCTGTGACAAGGGGCCACCCGCCTTCTGGACTGTGTCTCTTCCAGAGACCTGCCCTGCGGGCTGACCATTCCCACCATTCCAGCCAGTCCTTTCTGTTCTGGGCCTTCTTTCCAGCTTCAAGGGGAGACAGTCTCTTGTCCAGCAGATAGAAACACACCTTACCTAGGCTCTGACTGATTCTTGCCCTTATAGTTAGTGAAAGGTGTCCTATGCCTTTCAAGTTTTCAGGGCGCTGTAGTGAGGAGCTGGGACCTCAAACAGCCACTTTGTTAGTTCTCTTGAGGTTCATTTTCAAATAACCTGAACCAGTCTGGTGAGTCCCTCCTGTAGGTCCCCTTCCCCTATGGTGCAGACACATTCGGTCCTGATAGGACCTTTCAGAGACACTCGTGTATGTTTGTCTGCCAGCCGCTTTGGACCAAGTGAGTGTCAGTTACTGCCCTGGGCTGTGAATCAGGGAGTCCCTCAGAGGTGACTTAGGTCTGACCTGCACAAAAAGACCCCAGACTACTAAACTCTGGAATTGTTTTTCTTATATTTACAAATTTTCTACCTTCTCCTAACTTAAATACTCATTGTCTCTTTCAGCCTTGTCTCTCACCCCTTGTCCGCCTGCTCCCCCTTTGCAGCATTCTTGAACTGCCTGCCACAGATCAGATGACCCATCTTGGTAGAACTGGGCCTGAAGAAGTCATCGGGTCCTGAGCCAAACACTGAAGGATCGCATGAGCTCTGTGCAAACTATTTTCAAATTTAAATTCAAACATTTGTTGAGTCACTAAGTGCCACACACCCTGGCCTGCACTGTGTTGTGTTTCTTACGTCAACCTCAGGACCACCCTGCCAGCCTGGTAAAAGTTCCCCCGTTATGCAAACACAAGCTCAGGGCCAGCAAGGGCCTTGCCAAAGGTCAAACAATTAAAAGGATACAGAGTTGGGATTAAGCCCAGGCCTTTTGGCACAACTTCTGCCAAGTCCTCCATTCTTTTAGTTGTTGCTGATCTGCATGCTCTAAATTGCCAGTTAATTAACCTCTACTGAAATGGTATTTGATTTCCTTTTACCTCTACTGAAATAGTATTTGATTTCCTTTTTTTCTAAAAACAAGTTACTTATAATTTGAAACGCTTTCTGACTTTAGACTATTCAATGGCCTCGTAGAGATTAATTAGCAAATGGAAATTTCCTGCAAGGTAAAAAAAATCACTTTATAACAATCACACTTCAGTTCTTGTCCAGTAGAGCTCTGTTTCCACCAGTCTGGCAGTTCTGTCCCAGTACAGGAGCCACCTTGCCTCAGAGCAGGTTTGTTTATTGACTTAGCAACACTTACTGGACCATTTACAATGAATAACTCACTTAGTCCACAGTAGAAACTAATAATATCATCTACATATTACAGATGAGGAGAGTGAGGTTCAGAGAGATCTATTTGTAAGTGGCACAAGCAAGATTTGAACCCTAGAATTTGTGTCTGGAGCCCTGGGCTATATGCACTACACCACAGTTCCTGCTTTGCTAACTCTGTGCTGGGTCATGCAAAGTAAAACAATAGCACAGAGGAGGGATAGAAACAGGCAGGAGCCAGCAGACCCTTCTCCGTGGCACGACAGAGGAAGGATACAAGTGTGTGTGTTTAGAACACCTTCGACATAAGTAGAGCAGGTTGTTAAATCAGAAAAAAAATGTCTTTCATAAGGAAGTGGATTGATGTGTTTCATTTGTACTCATGAAATGGAAAAAAACAATTGCATTTTGCTTCTGCGTTTAGAGTCCATGGCATGACAAATACCCTCAATTCTGCCTTTATCCACAGAGGGGAGCAGAGGGGTTCTGAAGGCCCCGGTCTCAGCACAATATATTCAGGATCCACCCTCCATTTCAGTGTTCCCTTGGCTGCAGCCTATGGATCAGTTTGAAAGAGGAAGAATGGGGCAAAACTAAAGAGATGAAGGATGGGTTAGTTCACAGGTTTTCTCTTTAAAGGTTGATGAGAAAGAGTTTCAGACAGGATCGTGCGGTCGTAAGGAACAGAAATCCACCAGTTTCCCGGAAAGCCCAGGAAACACCAGGAGCCCCAGGGCTGGGTCCGCTTAGGGCCTCTGCTTCTCTCCCCCCTCAGCCCTCCCCCTCCTTTCTGTCTCTGTGTCTCTGCGTCTCTCTGCACATCTTCTCCACCCTTTTCGCTCCACCAATCACTGCCTTGTCCTCTATTTCCTGGAGCACAAATTTCACCTCTCATAACATTAGCTTTTGTGTGATTTTGAATCAGTTTGACATCAGAGCCTCCCTTGCCTTCAGCTGCACTGCTAACTCACTGTTTCCCAGCTCCTCTAAGATCTGTTCGAATGGCCCATCTTTGCAGGACAGGCTGCACAACCCACAGGCTACTCTCTAAATTGGTGGCCTTTGGGCGAGTTATCTATCACTCATCACTGTCCAATTAGTATAAAAAATGTGTGCTTCAGCTACAGGGACTGGGCAGAGCTGGGACTTTTTCCTAGAGGGCACGTGGGTGGACAAGCTCCATGACCGAGTCCAGTGCAAGGCGGGTGAGGCTCAGTTACAGTGAGCACATTGCCTGGAGCCACACTTTAAAAGTAGCCTCAGTGTTCGTGCCACTGACCTTACTCTACATTAAAAAGTGATAAATGTCTTTATGGTCCTTTCAGAACAAAATCCTTTGGACGGACTCCAAGGTAGATGCTTTTGATCTCAGCTTCAGCCAAGGCTGAGCAGGCTTATGGAGATTTTGTGGGAAAAGCCTGTCACTTTCCTTTCTGATAGTGGTGTAAGTAAGTGAAAAGCAAGGCCTGGTACCCTGAGCGATCCCGGGCCTTTCCAGTGAGGCAGGCCTGGGTCCTTTGCCCTTTGCACCACGTGGACCCATCTCAAACCTTGTCCATAAAACACAGGTAACACGGGAATATCTTTCTCACGGGAAGATGTGAGAATTACATCCACACAGAAGCAGTTTTCGTAGTACCTGGCTCCTATTAAGTACTCGATAAACGGTATTTGTGAGCAGCTGTATCCCTTGTCCCAGGGTATCCTTCAGGATGTATTCAT